TACTTTGGAATGGGGCTACTCCAAGCAGTTCTCAGAAGGCTGCCGGGCAGTGTACCATCATAGCAAGCCCTCCATTGCATATGCAGGGGATTATAACTGTCAGAACACAGGAGCCTGGGGAAGCCATCAGAGGCGGATATTGAAGTTCACAAGGGGGGAACAGGAAGATAAGTAGATTCAAAGATTTACCTAACAGTGCTTAGTGCTTGGTAGATAATTTTTGAATTATTAAATGAAAGACAACTATTTCTAAAGAACCTAAGGGTTCTTTAAGAATATTATATATACTTTTTTGAGGCTATAAATGTCTTTGACAGAAAATTTACAAATGAATTCTTTAAGTTATTACATTGCTAATAGCCGGGTAGTTGATCTTGCTTTGGTTGCTTGTTTTCCCCAAATGAGGAAACTTAGCAACAGCAGCAGTGTATTAGGTCCCCATGTCTTCCAGCAAGGCTGCCACAAACGGTAGGCAATTAGATACAAGCAAACAGGCCCTTGCTCCTGGTCTAAAGGCACCAATTCAGGGGAGAAACTGTTGATCTCTTCTGTTAGGCTTCAGCCATTGTTCACAGTCTGGCATGGAATTAATCCCTTAAGAAAGGGATGAAAAAAAAATGCCATTCAGCACAACATAGTTTGTCATCGCATGCATAATGCAGACTTTCCAATTAGAATGCTACAATTTGGAGACTTTCTTCACAGACTGATGAGGGAGCAATTATTTTAAGAAGGGAAAACTCAGTCCACTGGGTTTGCCTCCAGTCACTTCTAACTCTGGCCACAAAGACAAGAGTTTTGAAATCATATTCACTATCGAATTTTATATCAAAACACCAGCACGGAGAGCAATTAGTTGCTGTAAACTGAGCCCCGGGTAATCAATGGTATGCAACCAGCCATTTATGGAAGATGTAAGCAGAATCACATCTGCTAATCAATTTTTTTTAAAACCAGCACTTGCCTGCTTTTCGGGCGCCCCCACTGTAAGGATAGCGGGAGATGGGGGAGACAACATGTAATGTCACCAGATATTTCACACGGCGCTCATTAGATGCTGAGCTCTGGGGCAGCCATTCGCAGGCCTGATCTGCACTGGTGACTCTCCGGTGGGATAAAGTCAGCCTCTTTGAAAATGGCTTCTGATAATGGGGTGGAGGAGGGAGGGGTATGTTTGAGGAGCTCATCTTCTTTAAGGTCATGAGGAGTGTCTCTGCTAGGTGATCACACTCTGCAAACATTCCCAGTCAGATTACAAGCCAGAAATGTCTCTATGCTGTCAGTGCAAATCCCTAAGAACAGACTCTGCAGGCAGACAAAGGAGCGAGTGAGGGAAGGTGGTGGGGCTTTACACTGCCTAACAAGAACCCGGAACAGGAAGGGGACTGAGCCAGCTTTTCTTTTAGGGTTTTAAACTGTACTTGCTTTTTTAGTTGAATCAACAAAAGGATTTTATTCCTGATGAAGCCTAAGTTCCCAGCAAATAGGCACCCTGGTACGTGAATTTGAATCCCTGTGAAGCTGCATGTGCAGAGGACAGAGCTCTATACTTGATAACCTGCCATCCGTCAGTGTCCCTTCCCACTCAAGAGTCACCGTGACCCTGCATTCCCCAGGGGCTCTTAATAGAAGAATAGAAAGGAGATGTCTCAACCAGTATGTGCTCTTGGCTGCTATTCAGGAAAGAAAAAAATTTAGGCTAGGAGAAATTATTGAGGTAAAGATCGATGGACTAGGCTAATAAAAATTAATATCTTTAGCATGCCAACTATGATAGGCAGTGAATTAATATCCTTTAGCTCTGGAGGACATTTTGTAAGTCATTAACAATAGGATAAATATAGAAAATAACACAAAATGTTCAAGTTCAATGATAAGTTTAAAAAAATCCCTGCAAATGAATGAAATGCGTCTGCCGTGTAACAGCAGCAGTGTTTCTAAGTATGATTGTCAGTGGGACGCCCAGAATTGGGCGCTGGCTGGAGTCTGCTGGCAGCACAGCCTGTTACAGATTTCTGTTGGAGGTGAGGGAGAAGAGAGGTGTATACCACAGGCTCAAAATGAGAGTGATTTTACAAACTCTTTCAAGGGAAGTAGTGGATTTAGCTAAGAATGTTTATTAAAGAGTTTTCCTAACAGTGAAATATTATTCACTACTTAAATTTTGTTTACTAAGAGACTGACTAAACTGTTGGACATCTGTAGAATGAAATGCTGTGGTGTCAGCACCTGTGATAGAGATGATGGAAGACATGACCTTACAGGTTCTCCCTCACTCCCCCAGGGTTTCTCTGTGTGGCTCTCACTGTCCCGGCCTCGAACTCACAGAGATCCACCTGTCTCTGCCTCCCGAGTGCTGGGATTGAAGGTAGTGCTGACATCACTCTAGGAGTCTCTGAGGACACCCACCACACTCATAATTCATCACCTCTCAGTGTTGTCTCCTTATCTTATATCCTCAAGGCAGTCTCTTTCCATGGACCATTTTGAGATCTGGTTAGATTCTGCCTCACAGGGATCGAGTGTGTTTATTGGGTACTCTGTCAGCACTGACTCATAGTTACCTGGACTACCAGGTAACCACCATAGTTACCTGGTGGTTGGAACCCTCTGGTTCTCCATTAATAATTCCAAATCGTAGTGAGAGAGCCAGGCGTGGTGGCACGGGCCTTTACTCAGGAGGCAGATATCTGAGTTCCAGGACAGCCAGGGCAACGCAGAGAAACCCTATCTCCAGAAACAAAAACAAAACATCCCAAGCGTCCTAGTGAGGGTTGTCTTGCAAGAAACCTGTTGCAAGCTGTGAGGTGAGGAGAAGAGTTAACTTGAGGCTCCCTCATCTGTAATAGTGAATGGCTGTGTCCAAAACAAAGAACTGAAGGGAAAGGAGCTGGGCCCTGGGCACAGGCCTGTCATCCCAGGGGCTCAAGGACAGCCTTGGCAACTTAGACCCTGCCTCAAAGGCAGAGTAAGAGGGCTGTGACCATAGCTTTGTGATAGAACAGTTGCCTAGCCCTCGCCTAATATCCAGAGACAATCACAGGAGCAGTAATTCTCTACAGTAACCTTATATGTGAGACAGAACTCGTGCAAGGGTTTTCACTGGCTGTAATCACAGGATTAGAGAAGACACCAGGAATGGCAGTTATGGAGTGATAGGTTAGAGTAGAAAATGATCCAGATGCATAAAGTGGGAATAACAGCAGTACTTGCTAGGGATTACAGACCTGGGTTTTGATCAGGATGCCAGGTTGAAATCCTGCATCACGCACATGCGGACAATGAGCTTAGATAAGGCACTTAGAGCAGCAAGGCTCACTTCTACCATCCATATAATGTGAGGAGTGCAATCATGCTTGCTAAGAGGATAGATATTCAGGTGGAGATAATAGAGCAGACTGTGCAGAGTGCTTGACATGGGTCTGATCCACATAAGCATTAAAGAAATATTGGCTCTCATGATTATCATTGTTACTGCTGTGTTTGTCCAGCTGACGTCCCTGAGCACTGGCTCCAAGTGACTTGCTGTTCCAAGCTCTGGGTATCGAGAAACTATTTAGACATGGGTACTGCCTTCAGGGTGCTCACTGTTGTAGCTGACTGGAAGCACATGCATCCAACTTCCTGTTAAACAGTGTGATAGTGCATCTGCTTTGTTTAGACAAAAACGGCTGAGATAGTAGAAATCAGAAGCCAAATACAGATCCCATATAGAAAGACTCGGATTCTGTTTTTAACTGAAGAACCGCACATGTGAAATGTGTGGCTCACACATCCATCGTTCATGCATAGCCTGATGAATATTTACATGCTCCTGCAGCCATGTAGCTGCCACTGGGAGCAAACTAGCACATCTCTGGCCTTCTAGAAGGTGCCCTCATCCCATTTCTCAATCAGTACCTTCCTTAGAAGTAACAGTTATTCTGAAACCTAGGTAAGTGCATTCTGACTAAACTTGATGAAAGTGGACTCCTAGTCCATTGGAATTCTTACCTGAGCAGAAAGAGGGCTCAGAGCAGAACCGAGAGAGTAAGTTCCCAGATACTGAGTATGTTTTCTGGTGCATTTGGCTCTCTCACGCTTGGGGTCCTCATAGAATATTGATTAAGATTTTTTTGTTTGCATAAAAGAGCACAGATTTTTTTTCTTGTCAGTTCCTTTAAAAAAAATACAAAAGAAAGCTATTTACATCGCATATTGCTTTGTATTGGGTATTGTAAGTAACTCGAGGATGATGTGAATTATGTAGGCCAGGTGGGCTGTTAACAGCCCTCTGATCACAGCACTGGAGATGCTAAGCAGGGGATCGTGGGCTCACTGGCCTAGCCTACACCATAGGACCTTGTCTGTGGAGGATGCCCACACACAGACTCATCTTTATACTTGTGTATGTCTATCTACATTTATGAATTTGTGTTCACCTATGTCAGGGGTATGTGAGAATGGATGACTGCATAGATTTTGTATATATAAAATATATATGTAAGATGTCGTGTTACTGAAGGACTTGAGTAGCCACAGACTTTTGGGGGTGGGTGTTAGGACTAGTCGCTTATAGATGATAAGGGGTAGCTGTATTCCCACATCAGGAAATTTTACCAGGGTCACACGGAAACGTGGTAAAAGTGAGTGCTTGTTAGCACCACGGGAAAGCACTCGTTCCCTGAGCAGTGGTTCTGGGGTGTTATCCTCAGCTAGCTCCAATGCTGCACATGAAAGCTGGAGAGCCTGAAAGGATGACGGGAATGTTCTCCCTTCTAAGTCAGTCTGAACCTCGCTGCCATGGGGACAGAGGTCCCCTGGGATTGGGTGGTTAGGGAAGCAGACTTCCAAAGAGCTGGCCCACAGCCTGACCCCAGTCTTTCTCTTCATGTGTGCATTGAGATTCACTTCTGTCTTCAGCCTGGATGCAGGATGGGGCACAGCGGATAGGGAGGGATGACACAAGGCCCCATGACAGTTAGGATGCAAACACATGTAATGTCTTTTTCTTTGTTCAGGTTATTACTCTGGGATTGTGACGATCGAAGCTACAGTTATTACGTTGAGGTTTCCACCAATCAGCAGCAGTGGACCATGGTGGCTGACAGAACAAAAGTGTCCTGCAAGTAAGTAGCATCCTCTCGATTGCGGGGGCAGCCCTCTGGGAGCTCAGAGGCTTCTGAGAAGAATGATGCAGCCACCAGGGAAGTGCGGTGCAGTCCCATGATCTTTTGTTTCCGTTTTGACTGTTAAGAATTTAAATGAGATTTACTTGCCGTGCCCAAATAAGCTTTACTTGTGAACTGAACTTGGAAATGACTGACATGTCCAAGCAGGGAAAGTAAGAGTTTCCTGTGCGGTTCTCCCTTCGACCTCCAAGCCCCACACTGCCGTTTTAGGGGGTTTTTACTTCCTAATAGAATTTGGCTTCACTGGTTACTGTGGACTCTGTCTTACTCCTTAACTTGTGCTGGTCCTTATACCAAATCTTACCTCATCCAGTACCTAAACTAAGCAAGGCAAGCCATGAGCCTTAGGCTCTTCACAGGCCTTTGGCATTGGGTCTATACTGAGCTTATCTGGCTGTGGGAACACCTAGAAAGAAGAATTTTGTGGATTCTGGCCATCTTTAGCCATGATACATGAAGAGAGCTTGGTGCCTTCTTAGGGGAGAGTTTCTTCTGGGAGACAGAGCACAACAAAGCTGAGACTTCATCTTTAAAAATCAAATTACAATCCTATATTAGATTTCTGTCCCCATGACACAGTGCTGAGAAACAGGTTACTCAGAAGGAAGGTTTAATAGCTTGTGTTTCAGAGGTTCCTGTCCATGATCATAAGCTTTCCAAGTGGCCTCTGGAGCTGGAGGGAAAGAGGCGCAGGGACCCCTGTGTCACCTTCGAGATCACCTCTGGTTACCTCACTTTCTTTCACTAGGTCCTGCCATCACCTCCCAGTACCACCACAGGCTAGTGACCAAACAAATCTTTACACGTGGGCCTTTGTGGGACATTTTATGTCCAAGCTGTAAGCTCAAAGTGTGCAATGGAGTGGTTTTCAGGACACTCACAGAATTGTGCAGCCATCACTAGCTGATGTTCTGCAGCAGCTTTATTATCCCCCCCATAAACCTATGTTCCTCCAACTGCCCCAGCATCTAGTAATTGCTTTCTGTCTCTGGATTTGCAAAATATGGGAGACCTCTGTAAGTGGAATCATATGCTGTGTGACCTTTTATCCTCAGTTTCTTCTCCTTGGTGTGTTCTGTTCATCCTGAAGATGAACTGTATCAGATATGAAGATTTTCTTTTGTCTGGGTGAATAATATTCTAGTGTGTGACCTTATTTTCTTTAGTTGTTCATCCTGACAGACATTTGAATTGTTCTTTTCTCTTTAGCTTTAATGAATAGGCTGCTTTACATACTCCGGTAGAGGAGAGCGTGTGGACGTAATGTTTAAGTGGTCTTGGGTGTATACCTAGGAGTAAAATTGCTGCATGGTATTTCCTAGTGGCATGAGGATGACTTGATGACAATGCTGGACTCCGTTGGCGTCAGCAGCACTCCTGTCAGCGTGACTGGATTTAACTTTTTGAAGAACCGCTGAGACATTTTGCGTGGCCTTCAGCAGCTGTGAGGGATCAGTTTCTCATTCTTGCTAGCCTTGTCATCTGTGAGCCGCAGTCAATCCCAGGGCAGTGAAGCAGGCCCCCTTGAGGCTTTGGTTTGCAGTTCTCGTGGCTGATGCTCCTGAGTGTCTTTTTGTGTACTTATTTGGCTATAATTTCTTTTCTAATGTCTGTCTCTTTGGTTGATTGGTTGGTTGCTTGCCAGAATTCTGCTAGGTAGTTGTTCTTACTGCACTATGCCCCTGGTCCATGATTTCTTCATGCCGTTGATGACAGTATGTCAGCTTCAGGGTTCACACCATCAGTACTACTATTAGAATAGTTCCCACACGGAGTGTTTTATGGTGAAGTTCACACTCAAATGGCTATAACAAATAAGTCTTTAACCAGCTTCATGTAACAGTGTGATTAATGGTTTACTTGAGTGTTCCTGCTTATTCCATGGCCTCTGCTTGTGGGTTTGTCATTGTTTGGAGGCTCAGCAGGGTCTTCTGCATGTAGCAGATACAGGTCATGGAAGCAGAAGGAGAAGTTATAGCTGGTTCTCAGAAGCCCTGGCTTGCACAGTGTGCATTCCTGCTATTCACACACCACTGGGGACAAAAACAGCCTTTCCGCTCTAGTGTGCCTGGACCGCCACTTCTTAGGGAGCATGAATCTTGTGAGCACCTTGGCCACAATACAGGAAAATAAACCATTATTTGCTAACTAGTATTTCCAGTACTTTCATATATTGTATCTCGTCTGAATACGGGGTGCTTAGTGGGATAGTGTCCTCATTTTTATAAAAGAATTGTTTGGAGAGAAGAAGCATCTTTCCCAAGGAGCAGAGGTCAAATTTTAATCCAGGACTCTTTGCCACTTAGCCCTGCTTACAGTACCCAGGTATTAATGAAGAACACTAAACCACCCTGGGAGGAGAAGTATGAAAAGGCGGGGGGGGGGGGGCAGTATCTTGGTTCTAAGCTGCTGGAACCCTTTACAAACAATGGCATGCCTCTAGACCTCATGAGTCGCCTGCTGCATCCTCTCTTCAGAGCCAGCTGTGGAGCACAGCTCCCCATCTTTGTCATTTGTACTTCTCTTTGTAAACCTCCATCCAGGGAGCTCCATAAGCCTTCAACAAGAGCACAGTCAATTCTACACAGATGCCTGTCCTCGTGGTTTGTATTGAGCTCACTGGGGTTTTGTGACTGAGAAATGCCTCTGTGTACAGACTTTCTCAATGCCTTTGCATGGCCATCAACATCTTATTGGTTTGTTGCCATTAATTGATGAACTTAAATAATTGACAAGATTTCCACTTCGATGGCAGCACTCAGGTTTTCCAGTAGCATTTTACATATTAATAAGCTGTGGATGATTCATCAGAACAAAAGAGAAGGGAAAGGAAGGCAAGATTCAATTGCCTCCATTAGAATCAGTGGAACCAGTGGTTATGGTTTTATATTTGTAGATGTAGTCTCACCCCTACCTTTAATGTAGTCCTTAAGAAGATGTGCAAACAGTTCTCTTTACTTAATGTGCTTCTCTTTTAAAAGAGAAGGTTCTTTTAGCTTCTAGAGCTGTCGCTTATTCTTACTGAGAGGTAGCATGTGTAGGGTGGTCGGGTACACAGAGACCTTAGCCCTTATATGCTTGGCCCTGCTCTTGCTTGCTTTCAAGATGAAGGATCCTTCCTATGGTAAATAATAATGCTTTGGTATTGATAGTTTTGAAAAAACTTGTCTGTATCTCTTGTTCTTCTCATGTTCTAACCATGAGCCCTCAGACCTTACATTCGAATTGTGGTTCTCTTCCTCCACTCTCCTCTAGATTGCTGAACCCTAACCTTTTCTAAGAAATGCAAGCAGCACGTAGGACATTAAACAACAGGGAGATGTAAGTGGAGAGCAAAACGTGACCTTTGCATCTTCCTGCCCACTCCTCAGAGGCAGCACCTTTGACTTGCTGTAGGGTTTTTGTTTTTGTTTCCTGCCGACTTCCATACTGTCAGCAGCATCTTATTCTTTATTCATTTGCCAGCTTTATTAACTTCCTACTCATGTCCGGGTTATGTTTTCTTTTTAGTTCTACTTTAATGTAGCTTTTTAAAAATAAACAATATACCTGACTTGTACTTTCTGGTCCGACCTTTAAGGACAGAACCTCTTGACTTCCCACTATGTTAACGGATAAATGGATACCCTCTGACTTTCCTACTTCTCATTTTTGTCTTTCTTTTCTTTTTCCTCCTCCTATCAGCTGTTTGACCGCATTAATATTGTAAAGGTTTGTGATGCTTTTTTGCTATAACTTGGAGATAACTTTCTGTGTGGCCACAAAGACCCTGAAATGGAAACCCCTGAGAAGTCGTCGTGATGTTCTGGTGATAGAAACAGTGTCCATACAGTTTCTAGTCCCTGCTCAATGTGGGAAACCCCGCATTGCACCTCTCAGCTCATGGCCTCCTGAGAAGAGCTGTGTGCCGGGTTCCAAACAGATGGATGGGGCTTTCTGGGAGTGCTCAGAATGGTTCCACTGCTAAGGAGTTGCCTGTTAACCAGCTTTTTGTTGCCCAAGGTTCCTAATCGGATAGTTTTGCTATTACCAAAGCTTCTGAAGCTTGCTGTTCACTCATTGGCTAACTCTGGGCAAATGCTTCCTAACCTACTCAGAGCTGTGACTTAAGATTTCTTTTCTTTCCCATCTAAGTTGGCTTTTCTTCTTTATTTTCTTCCTTCCATTTGTTCTTTTTTCTTCTTTCCTCCCTTTTTTCCTTCCCTCTATTTCTTCCTTCCTTCTTTTTCTTTCACTCCCTTCCTTTTCTTTTTCTTTCTTTCTTTTTCTTTTTTTTGTAGAGCATGATGAAGGGTTAACAAAATCCTTTCTCTGTGAGTCAAGATATTGACCTTGGACCCGGTTCCCTCTCTTTCTTGATCCATTGTCCCCAAACCTCACAGAAGTGGAATATTAGCTATGCTGTTAAGCGGCATTGCTTATGATAAAAAAAATTATCCCTGGCCCATAAATAGCCTCTGGCCTAGGAGGCTCTAGGTATGCACTTAGAAGCTCCAGCTGGGACTCCTAGGACATGCCCTATTACCCTGGGACAGAGCTCATGGCTGTGGCCAGGGAAATTGCTTTGTATTTGGAGTGTGAGGTTTACCACTCAGGGTGTCCACCTGCCTGTCACTGAGTAACAATCACTACGTATCGCGTGCAGGACACAGTTGTGCGCACTGCTACAAGGAGGAGCCACCAGTGCTGTCCTAGTGGTGGCTGCTTTTCCATCCTCTCTCACGTTACCCTGGAGCCTAGTATACTTGTTTGGTCTTTTGAGTCTGAACACTTAATTAAGATTGTTATGCCCAGTCCATGAGGACCCCAAAAGACCACTAGGGAGACCAACTCACTGAAATGGAAAAGCAAGGTTTATTGTGTGTACGATACAAGCTGGCAGGGACCTCATCAAAGCAACTAGCACAACAGCGGGCAAGAGGGGGTGCCCCACCCTT